TCAAAAATCAACCTCCCAAAATCTTTACAACAACGATTAAAACCCACTGTTTCAAAGTAGTAATCCTTTGTTTAGCCCAATTGCTATAAAATATGTTCCTTGCTATTTTTTCATATTTGAGATATAACTACGTCAATTTCTCATGTGATTTGGGATCAATATGCAACTGCTTACTTATTATTAATGAAGGATACAATAAAATTTTCAAGCGATTTGCTTTATTTACTCTTGAGCAAAGAGGCATAAACTTAGGATTTGCAAGTGTTTTACACAAAATTATGGTGCATCAACTCCAGGAATATTATATATGCTTCTGGTCATACGCATGAATAAGAAAACTCTAGGGGGAAGCCAATTTTGAAAATGAACACTAAAACAACAATTCACAGTCTAACCTGATTTGGGCAGACCAAAGGCGATCAGCATTCAACTGCTCAGCGGGATCGTGAGTGTTTTTAAGAGCCTTGCACAGGGCGAAAGTGGACAAGCATCTTTTTAACCAGGGCAGAGAAAACAAGCCAGTGACCTGCAGTGAAGTGACTGCAGCCAAAGCTGCTAGATCTGCCTCCCCAGGGTTGGCAGACAAACTCCCACATTTAAAGCTTCCAAGTGCAGCCCCCTGTGGGATGCATTACAGAAGTCTAGGGGCTCATGGGGACTCCATGCAAGCCTACCAATTTATGGAGACTTCTGCCTTTTAAGTGGGTCCTGGGCTGGCATCAGTAGCTTATTCACAACGCTTATTGGAATATCAAAAATTGAAGAAATGGATTCTGACCTTTGACCTCTGATGAAAAGTGTGCAAGATGACCCGTGACAAAGAGTCTGAGCTGCTTATTCAGGTCACAGGTCTGAAGGTCAAGGTCCCATGAGCGAAGACCTGTTGAAAGACAGGAAATAAAATCAAAGTCACTTTAAACCATGGCAATTGTTGGTTTGAGCAAACAACTCTGGGTGGCTCACAATTAGAGGAATACAATTGAGTTTATGTAGAAAAAGACTGGCACCACCACCACCCCCTTTTGTATGTGGTTGCTTTCCCAGCTGTCAGGAGTTGCTCAGAATATACACCTCTTCCTGCAGGGTTATTCTCAACCCACCTTCCCTCGGCAAGATGTGACTCTTGGTCATGTACAGAGTCAGATTACTCCAGCCCCTCCCTGAGGTTATTTTGCATATGCTTTCCTATCTCAGCAGCCTCTGAGGAATCTTGGAACAAGCCTCAAAACCAAAGATTGTTATTCTGCTATTTGTCACCAGACTGATTTTTTTTCCATTCTGAAAACCCCATAACTCTTACGGGCAATTTTTTTAAAAAAATCATGTTATGATTTTAGGATAGTAAGTAAGTAACAATAAGTGATATATTCATTTGGTTATGTCTATTTTCCTAGAGCTATCACTTAAATATACTAAAAAAATTAGTCCCCATTGAATTAAGACTTTTATTTTAATTCAATAGTAAATTACTACAAAACTGTAGTAATTTACTGAATTACTAAAATTATTAAGTTTTTGGTTCATGGTATTACCAATTTAGTAAATTAATTCTTTATTTTCCATATCCTAATAAATTGTACTCAATATGGGTCATTGACTTTAACAAAAATCAGATTGTAAAAACATCAGTCTGTAAGCATCTTGAAATACTATAGTAATTATCAAAAATAAGCATGGATTTTTAAAGAAAAAAAAATCTTACCAGATTAACTATCTCATTTTTTGCTTAAGTAACTTTCTTAATAAGAGTGTGAAGAAAACTATGGACTTAATATGTTTTGATCTGATTTTGAATACCAATGTAGATGATCAAAAGAATTAGAACTATTTTGAAGACTGAGGCGGACACATATCAACACGCTTCAAGTACCTGAAGGGGAGTCAAAGAAAAGAAGTTCTCCAGATTGCAGGATGTGGAATAATGGATTTTACTGATGGATTTTGATTGATCCTTAAGAGTCACTTTAAACAATCATCCAGAGAGTTGGTGGCCTCCCCTGTACCCCATGTGCTTGAGCAGAGGGTGGTGTCTTTTGGGGATTTGCCTTCCGCCACTGAGTGGAAGGTATGATTTATGACTCCATGACACAGAAGAAGTCCTAAGGATCAGCAGGGGAAGAGCCGATTTAATTTTCTGCTGATTCAAGGGGAAGGGGAGGGGGCGGTGGGGGAAGGGCCAGAGATTAAGAAGCTGCAGACCCCAGTCCAGCTCAGCTCAGCCATGGAAGCTTCCGTGGATGAGTCATTGTCTCTCAGACCAACTTAGAAGGTTGTTGTGGTGGGGGCAAAGAGGGAGGGGAGGACGACCTCTACAGAACCACCTTGAGCTCCGAAGGAGAGACATCCCAAGGATGCCAGTCTGGCGGAGCAAGATGGGTGGCATTGCCCTCCGTCTGTTCTTCCAGCCTGAGGGCTCCTCTGGGCAGTAGGCTGGGCTGGACTGCCTGGCCCAGAACACCAAAAGCGTTTTCTAGGCAGCCCCTGGAAGCAAAAAATGCCCTGACGGCTCCTCCGAAGTGATTTCCTGGAGGAGGTCAGTGAGAAACCGGGCGCCTCTCCCGCCTCCCCTCTTCGGCTCGCTCGCTACTCCGGGAAGAGGAGAGGCGCAGCGGCACTGCAGCAGTTTCTCCAAAGGCCGCCGCTGCACCAGCCGGAGCCAGCCCGCCTCTCCGGGTTCCCGCGGCTTCCTTGCGCAGGGCGGAAACTTTCCTTGCCGGCTGGGAGCCGCCTCGCAGGTCCCGAAGCGCCCCGCCAGGCCCTTCCCGGAGGGGGCCTGGCGGGGGCCGGGGGGGCTTTGGCTACTTTCAGGCTAGCTCAGCCGAGATTGCGCGGGCGGCTGGCTCGCCGTCCTGCCTTCCCCGCGCCCGGCTCTTGCCCGCCCCCGCTGTGCCCTCGCCTTTGGCTCCGAGGCGCCGAGCTCCGCCACCAGAGACGCCGCGGCATTCAAGGCTCTGTTCGGAGCTCGGCTGTCCCGTGGAGTCGGGCCGTTAAGCCGCGGCCGGCGGGCGCTCCTCCGTCCGAAGCCCGCCCAGACTCTGCGCGGCGCGGGGCTTCCCCACCGAGCTCCTCGGGAGGCGAGCGCGGGCCAGGCCTGGGGCGCGCGGTCCTTGGGGCGGGAGAGGCCCCCCCGTCCGCGGAGTCCCCGGAGCCCCAACGGGCGGCTGCGCCTGTCCGCCCGCCCCGCAGCCCGAGCTCTTCCCCCCGCCGCCGCCGCCGCCTCCCCCGGTTGCCCCGGCCCTCCGACGCAGCGGGCGCGCGGTCCCTGTCCAAGGTGCTGAAGGCGCCCGGCGCCCGGCCGCTCGACGGCTTACCGCGCTCCAGGCTCTGACGCAGCGCCTCCCGCTCCGGCTCCGTCCCGATCTCCCCGATCACCGCCAGCAGCGCGTGCCGCCGCCGCCGCCGCTCGCCGCCGGGCGCCTCCATCGCCGCAGCCACGACTCGCGCTCAGCAGAGGCCGCCGGCGCCGGCTCTTAAAAGCCCTCGGCCGCGCCCAGCTTGGCCCTGCCCCGCGCACGCGGACGCCCTCGGCCGCGCCCCGCCAGGCTCCCAGAGGCGGCTGGCCGGGCCGGCGCGCGTGGCCGTGCGAGCTTGGCGAGAGGCTGGTCCGCGCCGCAACTGCGACACTCGCCCGCCGCCCTCGCTCCGGAGACGCCGAGGAACGGCTGTCCGCGACGGACGGGGAAACCGAGGAAGCCCCGGCTGCGTTTCCGAGGGGAGACGGGGCGCTGCGCGTGACGATGGGGAGCGTGGTCGGCGTCCCAGTCTAGCGGGCAGGCGCCCGGAGTCCTCTGGCGCTCTCCTTAGGCGGCTGGGTTGAGGAGCTAAAAACGGAGAGTGAAATCAGTTGGCGTTGTTTAAAACTAGACTTTCTCCCTAAGGAACGAGAGATGGCCGGAAGCTGCCAAATATTAGGCGCTGGAGCTATTGAGGACTATTCGAGTGCGGTTTGTCAGCCAGCTACAGATCCACCTGCTGGTGATGTTGTCTATTCCACCTTTTTCTAGCTTACCAAGAAGCAGGTTGTGGTCTACTTTATCAAATGCCTTACTGAAATCTAAGTATACCACGTCCACAGCATTTCGCTGGTCTACTAGTTTAGTGACTTTATTGAAGGATGAAATAAGATTGGTTTGGCACGATCTGTTTTCAAGAAACCCCTGCTGGCTGCTAGTTATCACTGTTTGCCGCTAGTTGTTCGCAGATCTGTTTTTTGATCTCAAGAAGGCAGTTTCCAGATTTCTGGGAGTTCCACAGAGTGGCGTATGGATCTGGGTCTTGCACCATCACCTTCTTTGAGTGATCTCTCCACGTTCCGCCTCAGAAGAAATGTACGACCTAAGTCAGTTCTGTCCAAAGGGGGCTGAGTCAAAAAGACCTCGACAGATCAAAGTCAGCCCTGGGAAGCCAGGACAGATATGCAAGTGTGATTGAAAGGGCAGCTGCCAAAGGGTCTTCAAGGGCAGACAGGTGCAGCAGTCAGTCCCAGAATCTATTCTATTGTCCTTAATGCGTGGTTATGCTGCATTCACGGGAGGATCCTGCCCACCAGACCAGTGATCCTGGAACAAATGTGCAAATCAAACAGCCACCCTCAGAAGGAACGCCAGTGATGACGGGGCCAGTGGTGGAGCCCGAAGGCGGCTTCAACGGCATCCGCACCAGTGGAATTCCGGCCCCGGGAGGCGAGCGGGGAAGGCCGCCCGCGGTTCCTTCTCCTGCCCGGACGGGCAACCTCGAGGGCCGCGGAGACTCTCCAGAAGAGGCGTTCCCACACCGGGAAGGCCCCGCCCACCCAAAGCCCCGCCCTGCCCCGCCGCAGCTAAAGGGCCCGGGACGCGGAGGGGCGGCGCCAGCGGGGACCGTGCTGCGCCTGCGCACGTGCTCCCAGAGAAGGCGCCGATGCATGCCTGAGAAGGGGGGCGCTTGTCGCGCGGGCGGCCTGCGGCTGCGCAGACCTGCCTCGTCGCCCCGCCCACCGCCTTGCCGCCGCCGGTGTCGCCATGGACCCGCTGGGCTCGGCCTGCTCCGTGCCCGACTCGCCGCGCCTGCTGGTGGAGGACTCGCAGCCGGAGACGGAGACGGAGCGGGGCGGAAGGGCGCTGAGCCCGGTCCTGGAGCCGCCGCCGCCGCCGCCGCGCTTGCCGGCCTGCCCGGAGGCCGGGGAAGGTGAGGGGCGAGCGGGGGGGGGGGCGCTGGCGCCTCTCCGGGCCTCTCCTCGCCTGGCAGGGCTGCCCTCCGGCCAGCGTGGGGGGCGCGGGAGGGCCAGGAGGAGGCCGGGGACGCGCGGGAGTTTGGCGGGGGCTCGGCCCTTCTCCGCCCCGCTGGCTCCGGCGGGGCGGGCGGCTCGGCAGCCTTGGCGGAGGGGGCGGGGGCGGCGCCCGGGGGCTCCGGGAGGGCAGCGGGGCGGGTGGCTCCGCCGCTCCTCCTCCTCCTCCCGCCCCGGAGCCGCCTCGCTGTCGGCGGAGGCCGCGAAGCCGGGACCTTCCTCTCCCCGCCTCGCTCTCCTCCTGCCGGCCCAGTCGGGCAAAGGGCTGAACCGGAGGCGGGCGAGGAATCGGCGCTTGCTGCGCGGAGGGCCGGGCCCCCGTTTCTCTACCGCGCGCAGAGGCGCCGCTCCGAAGGGCTGGTTTAAAATCAGGGCAACTGTATCTTTTGTGTATTTCAATTGTGGCAAAAGTTTCAGCTTTGAGGCTCACGCAGCTACTTGCGTTAATAGCATGGCTGATCACAAAAGAATTGTGAGACTGCACAACTCCCTTTGGGGATGCCTGTGCCTGGGTCCATTGAGGCGCCCCCCCCCCATGCTTTGGAGTCTGCTGGGCACCAGGGTCCCTGGCAGGCGGAGGGAGGGGAGGCCTTGGTGGACCAGCCCTCCTTCATCTGGGCTGATGTTGCTGACTCGCTCAAGTCTAAAGTCAGGTTTTCTCACGTTCTGCTAAAGCCATTGTGGCAATTGCATCGTTTATAAACATCAATTCCTGGTTCTTTCTCAGTTCCACCTGCAGACCAAGATAAAGCAGGCTGTCATACAGTAAGGAAATCCAGGAGTGATTATTCTGAAGGGTAAATATGTCCTATTTGTTTTTCACTCAGCTGGGCAGCTCAGCACAACTGAAACAAAGGCAAAGACAGCAGGAGTGACAAGCGGAGCTTGTCTTTTGTGAAAGGCCTGCAGGAACAGCCTCCCAATTCTCATGTGGGGGAGGGGATCTCATTCCCGTGGGCAGGCATTGCTTTCAGGAAGGCCCTCTTGCAGGGCCCTGGTAGATGATGCTGTTGAAGGAACCCGGAGCACACAGCCAGGCAGATCTGGCCAGCTGAGCAGACAGTACAGGAGACAGGAACTTGGCCTTTACGAGAGAAATGGTGGAATCCCAACATTGGAAGGAATTGTGCAGATGGACAGCCTAAGGCAGAGAGTTCTTTTGTCTGGCTACTCCTGGCATTAAGATGATTTTCCTAATGTTCACCTGGAATTGCCTTCCTGTAACTGGGGAACATTGTTATTTTGTGTTCTGGGATGAAGGATGTTGTTGGCCTGTGTAGCATCCCTTTAGGCAATTGATACATGCCACTGTAATTCCCCTCTTCTGAGAGCTATGCTATGATTTCTCTCAATCCTTCCTCAGAGGATCAAGTTTGCAGCTTTTAAATTACCTGCAATTGAAAAGTCCAAATTCTCTGAGCCTTACCTGTACAACTGATGTGCATCTCACTTGTTTTGACTGCCTGAAAAGTTACTGATTGGTACCTATGCTGGGCCGGGAGAAACATTTGCATTTGAATTCCCCAGTTCGAACTCTGTGTCCAGCCGTGTCCCTGGAATAATGCAGCCCCACAAAGAAACTCCTGAGACCCCAGGTTCTCCCTGCCTCCTCCTGGAGAGGACACCGCCAGTGAAGAGTCCTCATCCTTGCCCACTGGAGGATGTTGAGCCTGTCTCTTCTACACAGGAGGACATGTTTAGCCAGAACAGCACAACAGGTAAAGACCGGCTCTGATCTCTTTCATGCCCACTGTTGCCACCCTGAAGTCAGGCTGGCCTGCTTTGCTTATCCTGGTATTTGAGGAGCGGGTGATAGCAAGAGAGGAGAGGTCCAGAGCCACCTGCGGCCCACTCCTTTTTGTAGACCAACTTTTTAATGAATAGTAATTTTAAGTAGGATGGTGAGAAACAAAGTACATACAGTGTACGTATTGTGAGCTAAATGTTAAATGGAATAGAAACTACTTGGTCCGGTCCCACGCGCTACTTTGTGGAGAGCGATCTGCACTTGCTGTTCAGAGCCCTAGAGCTGGCAGCCATGTGAAGGGTCAGGGGTCTTTTGCAGTTTGGAGTAGGTGCAGGAAAGCAGCACTGGCAGCAGGGAGTTTGAAGTGACCCTCATGTATGTTTTAATGCAGTTGGAATAGCTCCGGGCAGTGGTTGCACCATGTCTAAACCAGAAGAGGCAAGTTCCCCATCATCCACTCCGAATGATCCTCTGCACGTCCTTCAGCTCTCTGGACAAGGGCCTCTTTCCAAGTAAGTGGGAGGCTTGCCACTTTCTTTTCCGACTGACGGATGATCCTTTATGTCTCTCCCATTGAGATCCCTTTGATGGGTGACTTCCTTTTGGGATGGTTCCTTTTTTTTTTTTAATCAGTTTCTTTGCCTGCTGCTCCTTCTCTCTCCTTTTGGTATTCTGTGATTTTGTTTAGGTTTTTGCTCTTCTCTGAAAATTTGAGGCGTGCAAAATATTTCAAGGTTGGCTCTAAAACTTGAGATTACTTGCAGCCCATTTTGAAGTTGGACTGGTAGATTTCGAGATCAGAACATTCATACTTGGCTGTCTCTGCTGAGGCTTCTGAACCCACTTTGCTCTTCATCCAGCCTTTTGCTTGTCTTCCGTTGGCAGAAGTAGAGGGATGGGTGTGTAGATGGAGGCCTTCATCTATTGACTGTTCTTTTCCCCCTTAGTTGTGCGTCAGGTCTTGCCAGAACAGCTTCTGATGTCTTACAGCCGGTGCCTTTTATTCTTCCAAGAAGCCCAACTGAACAGGAGGCAGAAGGTATGCCATCCCTTTTGGCCTGATTAGTTTGGCCAGGATTAGTTAAGATTGTTCCATCGTGGGACTGTCCCGGTTGCCCCCTTGGTTCTTGGGGGAAGAGAGTCTGACTTCATCTTGGAGTAGTCAGTGTTCCTTTCCTTTGTTTACCACGAGGCCGAAGGAATATGGCTTCCCTGCTTCCTATTTGTTTAGGAAATTTATATGGCTGCCCATCTCAGGGTGACTTTGGGAGGCATACAGAAATAAAACCCCAGCCCTCGGCTGCCTGTGACAACAACCAAACGAACCATTTAGTGGGCTCCGTATCACCCTGGGGTCCCCAGGCCCACTGGCAAAACCATGTGTTCAAAGGGGCCCTTTGAAAGAATATGAAGGAGGGAGCCACCATGGAGAAGGCTCTCCTTCTTGGTTCCACTAGACCAGGGGTAGGCAACCTTGGCTCTTTTATGACTCATGGACTTCAACTCCCAGAATTCCTGAGCCAGCTATGCTGGCTCAGGAATTCTGGGAGTTGAAGTCCATGAGTCATAAAAGAGCCAAGGTTGCCTACCCCTGCACTAGATAGACCTAAGAAAGGGGACCCGTGACATACTCTGCCTCCTCCATTCTGCTGGGTCAGATGGATGTAACTGGGAAAAGGCAGGCCTCCAAATAACCTGGCCCCAAGCCTTGTAGGGCTTTGAAGGGGGCAACCAGCATGTTGAATTGGACCCAGAAGGAGATCGGGAGCCGGTGCAGTTCCTGTAAGAGAGGTGAAGTTGTGTGCAAGTGGAGACTTGGGCTGCCGCATTTGAACCAACTGAACTAATTGAGATTTCTGGGAATTTTTCGAGAAAAATCCCACGTACTGTGACAGCCATCCCAGCAGTCAAGAGCGTACTCAGTTTTCTAGAGGTGGTAATCTCCACTTTTCCCCACAATTTTAACCAGGAAAGCAGGAAAGTCCACCATTGGAGACGGCAGGCACCCTTCAGGACTCTGTTCCAGCTCCTCAAGACGCCGTCCTGCTGCCCTCCATCCCTCTGCCATCCCAGCCCGAATTCTCTCACGTAAGTGGGCTGCTTGGGCTACTGCTGGGAGGAACGCAAGGAGCAGCCAGGCAAATGGGCCAGTGGGCCTCTCCTTTCTACAGGCCTTTTCTATGGCAAAAAGATTCTGAAAAAGCACAATTGTCAGCCTAGAAACGATCTCCTGGGGGGGGGGGGGGGNGTCAGCCTAGAAACGATCTCCTGGGGGGGGGGGGGAGATTGTTTTAGCCCTTTCCCTAAAAAGGGAAGGCTTTCTTGCTGGCAGAGGAGAGCCGGATTATGTTTATGGACTTTTTAAAATAATGTTATTAAAGGTTTTAAAAATGAAGATAAAAACTAATACAACTGAATGTAAAATAAGGAAGAAAAAAGAAAAGGCTAAAAGGGGTGACATGATAGCAGTCTTCCAGGGGCTGCCCCAAAGAAGAGGGAGTCAAGCTATTCTCCAAAGCCCCTGAAGGCAGGACAAGAAGCAACAGGTGGAAACTGATCAAGGAGAGAAGCAACCTAGAACTAAGGAGAAATTTCTGGCAGTTACAGTGAGGGGAAAAAGTATTTGATCCCCTGCTGATTTTGTACGTTTGCCCACTGACAAAGAAATGATCAGTCTATAATCTTAATGGTAGGTTTATTTGAACAGTGAGATAGAATAACAACAACAACAAAAACGCATTTCCAAAAAGTTATAAATTGCTTCTAGAGTCCCTGATAAGTGAGCCAACTGGGTTTTGCAGAGGTCTGTCAGGGATAGCTAGTCTGCCAAAGAATTTCACCTGGAAGCCACCAGATACTGTTTACGGTCTTGCTGTAACTGTGTTTTGTTTTTTTTATTGTCCTTTGCTCTTTTAAATAAGTGGGGCTTGCTCTATGGGGCATTGGGAAGAGCAGTCATCCATGCATGAACTTGGCTCACCTATGGGCCTTCACCAGGAGAATGCATCCGCCACCCCACCCCAAGTCATTAGCTTTCCTAGCGTGTAGCGGGAGACACTTTGTGAGACTAAGCCTCCACCTGGCTCACGGTTGCAGAGTGGCAAGAGGGATGGCATCCCTTTTCTTTTCCTTTGCAGGACACCTTTCTCCCAACTCCAAGCCTGGAGGGCGGCTGTAAGAGGGGAGCAGAGAAAGGAGGATGTTCTGATGACTCTGACGTGCCGGAGGCTGCAACATCAGCCTCTTTTGCAGAACCCGAAGAGAACAGCTGTATTTTGGCCCTCTCTGTCAGTCAGGATAGCCAGGTGGCCACGATGGAGAAGAAGGAGGCCACTGGCGCTGCTGCTGCTGCTGCTGGTGCTTTGGAGGAGAAGCTCTGCTCGCCTGATGGCTGTAGTGAACAGGAGGCCGATGAGAGTCGGCCCTTATTCGTACTGTCGGCAGAAAGCCCTTCCCTTGACAAACCTGGTGATGACCTCGGCCACCAAGGCAGTGTGCCAACCAAGGAATCTTTGTTCCTGGAGTGTGACGCTGTCCCGGAGACGCCCTGTGAAAAGGCAGAAGAAGCCGCCTTGCTGGATGAAGGACTTTCTCTCCGTTTGACAATTTCTCAGGCAGTAGAACAAGCGGAATGTTCTGCTGTTGGGGAAGCCGTTCCCCAAAACGATCCACATGTAACTGGCGAGCCGGCGCTCGTAGGGTCAGGAAAGCTAGAGCAAGGTCCTTGGGACAATCCCAACGAGCCTGCGCTGGAAGTGCAGAGCAAGAGTCGAAGGATTAATCCTGGAATGATGCTGAAACAGTCCGATTCTGAGCCCCCACCGGAGCAGGGGAGTAGCCAGCTCCAGAGAAGAACTGGTAGTTTTCCTGGGGAGATTCTGCACGCCCGTGTCCCACCAGGTAGGAACCTATGTCCACCAAGCAGGACCCTGATCCAGGGTGGTAGCAACCAGGGGGTCCCATCCGAAGGAAGGCTGCTTTGATCCGTTGCTTGGTATGAAGACAGGAGAAGCAAGAAGGCAGAAGGTGAATTGAGCTGTCTGTTTTGCCTGTCATTTCAGAGCCGCCCTTTCGTATCTTGTTGGCAAAAGAGAGAGACGCCCTCACCCCGCCTCTGGTGGGCCAGCACAAGGAAGGCCCCAGGCACAGCACTCCCATTGGTAAGTGGAGCGTGGATTCCCGTGGGGCAGGAGGAGGGTTTCTGTGGGAGCCTTTCTGGGTGACGGACCCAAAAGCCAGAGTGGGGCTGAAGCTCTGCATGGTGTTTTTGCCTGAACTATGAAGAAAACCCCTCCAGAGGTGGTTTTGCCCAGCCAGACCCCTGGGGCTCCTTGGCATGTTACCTAAATGACAGCTGTGGTGCTGGGAGAGGAAGCCAAGGTGGGCACACATCTCCGTGGACCTTGCAGAAAAGAAGACGCCGGCTGTGGGTTGCTGCTGGCTCTGCTTTAGAGGCCCCAGGAGCCCTTCTGAAGCGGCCCTTCCCCTTGGCTTGTTTCAGTGGCGGGAAGTGACCCCGAGCACCCTGCGGTTGGCACAGAGGGCAGAGATGGCGTCTTGGCGGGGGCTGGGTCAGCTGGCTCTGCAGCCCTTGGGGAGAGCTCCGAAGGGAGTGCTGTGGTGGCCTGCGAAGAGGAAGAGGAAGGGGGGCTCTCCCTGCGTAGGAACCTGGTGACCCCCGTGATGGAAGAGAGCGAGGAGCCTCTGCCTTTCAGCCTGGAGAGTAAGAGAGGCCACCCCAGGAATGGGGAGTGGGGGGGGGGCTGGCCCAGGTGGTTCTGGCTTTGGTTTGGTTTTTTTTGCTAGTTGCCTCCAGTGATTGGGATGCCCCCTGCCCACTCACCTGGGAGACCCAGTTGCAAAAAGGGGAGATTGAGGTGGCTGCCTTGAATGAGAGCGGGATGCGGCTTCTGGCCTGGGCTTTGTTTGGAGAAAGGAGGGTTCCTGTCTGAAGGTCAGCGTATTCTGCTCTTTCTCCTTGCTCCCCTCAGAGCCTGAAGCGAGGGAAAGGACGAATGGGCTGGCCACAGCGAGCGACCCCAGGTAAGACCCCTGGCAGGAAAGAGTTCGTCCCTTGGCCCTGCCGTGTTCTGCACCCGCCCCAAGCGTCTTTATTTTGGGGGGGGGGGAATCCATCCAGGATGGCAGAAGAAGGGAAGCTTAACATGTATTGGCTTCTGTGGCAGGATCCGTCCTTTATGAGTCTCTCTCTCTCGCTCTCTCTCTCCCTCTCTCTCTCTCTCTCTCTCTCTCTCTCCCTCTTTCTCTCTCTCCCTCTCTCCCTCTCCCTTTCTCTCTCTCTCTCTCTCTCTCCCTCCCTCTCCCTTTCTCTCTCTCTCTCTCTCTCTCTCTCTCTCTCCCTCTCTTTCTCTCTCTCTCCCTCTCTCCCTCTCTCCCTCTCTCTCTCTCTCTCTCTCTCTCTCATCTGTCTGCAGTTCTCAGAAAACGCTGTCGGTGTTTGCTCGAGTCTGTGGACCTCAACCCGAAGAAAAGGCTCCAGGCCCAGGACAGCCGTCTTCACTATTCAGGCAAGGCTGGGCAAAGCCTCTGGCTCTGGCTCCTGCCTGGACCTTCTGGGCCTCTGGCCGCTTCCTTGTGCACGGACAGAGGACTCAGGGGAGCATCTGTCTGCTATTGTACCTGATCCAACAGAGTTGCTTTTCTGTTGTTATTTTTGATTTTAGGGGTGACTTGTTCAATTTCCCACGTTCCCAAGAAGAAGAAGAAGAAGAGCCGTCACAAGCCTGGCAGGAGCAGCAGAAACGTGTCTCCTTGGGTGGCAGACAAGTCCCGTCTTCTGAGCCGATGGCCGAAGAGAAGGCGGTAGGCTGCGCCGAGGTGGGAGAGGCCATGGAGGTTGACGTTGCCCCACTTCAGCCTGGGGAGAATCAGAGAGCCACAAAGAAGTCGGGCCCAGTGGGGCCCCCAGGAGAAAAGACCGTTCCAGAGTCTGGATCCAGCAACGTCAGAAGCACCCAGGCGCCAGACCCAGCGGGCCCCACGTCAGCAGCCACGCAGACGGCCTCTGCCGCTACAGTGGAAGTGGGCACCAGTATCCGGACGGGTCGCGAGGTCGTCACGTCGCGGTCGCACGTTTGTCTCGCCCTGAAATACACCGCAGGACCTTCGGGGGGTCTCCGGAGCGGGACAGTCCACTCCCCCCCCTTGCCCCGGTAAACCTCTTCGGTGCAGGTCCACCGAGACTACGGCGACGGACTGTCGTCGCCCCTTTAAATGCTTTCTCTTTATTAAAGATTTTGCATATTCAGACTCCTCAGGTAATCCCAGTGTTGAATATTTCAGGAGACTTACCATTCACGTTTGGTTATTTGTTTACAGTTTTTATGAACCGCCTCCGTTAGGAAACCCTGAGCCCGTTTCGGTTTTTAGGAGCTGATGCAAAACAGTGAAGGAGTGCCCGGCCCCTCCTCCCCTTCAGCAGCCAGGTGAAGGCTTTGGGCATTTAGGTGGCGATTGGAAAGCCACAAGGGAGGGGGCCGTGCAGAAAGAAAGTTCCAGAATGCGAGGGCCCAGCAGAAAAAGGCTGCCTTTGGGCCACTTCTCCCTAACCCCCTCCTGGGGATAAGAAGTTTAGGAGGGGGTTTACCCTGCAAGCCCCTTCTGGACCGGCAGCAGCTCCTGGGTGACCTCCAGAGGCTGTCCTAGATCAGGGAGTGGGGCAGTCAAGCCCCGGGTCCATGTGCCATGCCTGGCAAAGGCCTGCCAAAGTACCAGCCGGGGGGGGGGGGCAGAATGCCTGGCATTAGGTGACTGCGAGTTCTGAGGGAGGGCTGGGACTCTTCTTGCCAGCACATCCTGGAGTTGCAGTTGGGTGGCTCTCTCCCCCTGCCCATCACGGCAGCACCGGCTGTCTTCCCCCCCACACACACACACCTGCTCGCTCGCCATCTACCTGGGGCCTTGCGGAGGAATTCTGGGTGAGAACTGGGTATTTAGGCCAGTGCAGCTCAGCCGGTCAGTGAGAAATAAGGGATGGTGTAGAGAAGTTGCTGGTTGACAGATGAAGGAGTGTTTGGAGTCTGAATGACATGATTGTCGGTGTCAGCTACACAAGTGTGCAACAGCATTCTTACTTATTTCTTAGAGCCTCTATAAAGCACCAGCCATTTTATCTGGAAATAAGCGCACTCCGAAATGAAAGTGGTGTCAGGTTTGGGAAGAGTCTTCCCTGGTCCTTTCAGCATCCAAAGCTCCTTGGAGTCATCTTGGCTGTTCCCAAAGGAGGCCGGTGGTGGCCATTTTCTAGTGACCGTCAGTGGACAAGTAGGATTTTTCATTGGACTGGCCTTTGGCTAATATGTTGCTATGGCAATGGTAAATACATAACATTTTTTTCAACAGGTTTTTATTGTTGTGTTTACTGCCTTTGGGGTTGCTTGTATTCTGCTTATGGCTGCAATGAGGTAGGTTGTGGTTTAAATGTATTTGAATGAAAGTGATAATGTTCAAGTGTCTGTGCTACAAAAAAGAAAAGGAGAAAAATAGCATTTGAACAGGAATCCTACAGAAATAAACTTGTCAATAGCACAGATAATCTTATATTCTCGATTTTAGGTGTAAATGCTTTTTAACATCTCTTATGTGTAAAAGGCTTTGATTCTATCTGTTTTACCAATAAAGAATATGTGTAGCTCTGGTTTGTTTTCTTGCAGACATTTCATGACCCAAACTAGGCAACATCATCAATGCTAGCAGGGAGTGGGGTTTGCTCTCAGTTGATGTTCCAGTGGCTACAACCTATAGAATAAATAAAGACTGCAACAGCCAATATGGAGGACAAACAGGCAGAAGACTGGCAGAACGCATCCAGGAACACAACTAGCAGTTAGAAGACATAATGAAAAATCTTTAATTTCACAAAACATGGACAGACTTAACCATACTTCAACTGGGAAACCATGACCATCCTAGTCCAAGCCAAGTCCAAAAACACTAGAGATTTTCTGGAAGCCTGACACTCTGACAAATCAGCACCAATAGACACATAAACAACAGGTACATATTGTGCAGAAAGGGAACGAAAAGACCAAAAACACTCCCTGCCAGCAATCAGCACCCAGATGAGCAGAGGTTAACACCAAGGTTAACATCAGACCCGCAATCAAGATGTAAACAATACTGCAATCAAGGAATTGCCAAACAGATCAATAGTAAACAGTCCAACCAGGAACTTCTAAGACCCAAAACACCAACACTGGCAGGGCAAGAAGCCATTGGAACATCAACTGAGAGCAAACCCCACTCCCTGCATGGATGATGTTACTAGTTGGGTCATGAAACGTCTGCAAGAAAACAACCCAGCTCAGAGAACACAAGGAACCCTCCTATCTGTTTTGTTTTTCTTTCTAATAAGCTGGTGCCATAGATATAGAATGAAATAGGGCTTATGATTCTGAATTATTAGGAGGAGAATCAACCAGGCATTCAAGGTGCAATGGATTTAGCTACTCCCCGCAGCAATTCTGTTGAGAAATATCCCATGCCCTATTGTCTGAAAATAGTTCTTCAGAGGAAAGAAAGGGGGAGTTCTAGTTACAATATCCATGGAATTCTCACGAAGCAGCCCGGAGGTGGTTTGCCACTGCCAGCCTCTGAAGAGGGTCTTTCATGTGTTTGACTTGTCAGGCTAGTCTGTAGCCTTTCAATTTCCTGGTAGGCTCCCATCCCAAGTACCAGTCAGGTCTGATCCTGCTTAGCTTTCTTTCAGAATTGGCCAGACTTGAAACCTGCTGTTGTTGAGACTAAATCTAGTGAGCTTTTAGGGGTAGATTAGAACTGGAAGCAAGAAGGACTAGTTTACATGCAGCAGTCAATTAGTAAACTTTTCAGTCCAAACCCAGCTTTCATGGTTTTGATGAAAGGATGTCTGGAAATATTTTGGATTTTCTTTTTTTCTTCAGAAGGAGGAAGAATTCGAACTGCCGCACCCACCAGCAGGTAGAGTCCTACAGCGCCACGTGAGAACAATTCGGGAAGTGCGCACCCTCATAACACGCATCATCACGGATGTTTACTACAAAGATGGCACCGAAGTGGACCGACAGGTGACTGAGGTAGGATGTTTCCAATGAGCCAGCTGTAACGCTGTGGACCCCACAGCTTCCAGCACGATCTCTTCAAGGGCGATGCCCTCAGATGTCAGTCTTTTACAGGATCCCTGAGACAAAGGCCGTGGCAGCCATTTCCAGAACTAAATGAGAACTAAACGAGGCCATGGAGTCGTCAAAGGCTCTTCCCTATTCTGCTCTCTTCAAAATAGGGACAGCCATCTTTGCTTGCAAAGTGAACCAGGCGCCTCAGTCACATCCAGAAAGATCCAGATTCTAGGCGCCTCTGAGGGGGACAGGAGTGAAAGTGAAGGAAAGTGGTCAGAGCTAGAGGAGGTCAGGCTGGAAATCCAGAGCTAGAGGAGGTCAGGCTGGAAATCCTGGGCATCCCCCCCCCCCCCCCATTTGCCTGAGAGCCAAGGCAAAGACGAAGATCCTTCCCGGGTGAAGGACTTTATTGGTGGAAGGCAGTTTTGCTGCCTGTGCTCAGTTAATCTGCCAGGCTGAGTTATTCCACTCCTCCAGAGCACATAAAAATGTTTAGCAACAATATTCTCTGGTATATTTGGGTTCTCCCAGCCAAGCCTGTGTCTTTGAGGGTGCACCCCAGATCCAGGCTACAATGATAAGCCAGGCCTGTATGCTCCGTGGAAGGTGCTAAGCCCGTGGTCAGTTGGAAAGGCTGAGGCTGCATGGCCTGAGGGTCTAACCCATCAAAGGGAGTGATGTTCAGAGCCAGAAAGAAGAGGGGGGGGGGGGCTGAGGGAGGAAAGGAACCTAAGAGAAAGCCATTCCTACTCCAGCCCAGATCCTACCATTTAAGATAGGGATGGATGTGAAATGTCTTCTTTCTCCAGGAAGTAAAATCTGTTTTGCGCTCTTTTCTTTTTATCTGTGGGATGAGAATGACATTGAAAGCTGCTTTTGCTGGACGGTGGCAGTATCTATTATTTCAGAAGAGATTGAACGGCCATTTGTCTGGAATGGCACGGGGTCTCCTGCTTGAGCAGAGAGTCGGACTAGAAGACCTCCAAGGTCCCTTCCAACTCTCTTAGACTCTGTTATTTCAGAGATGTCCTGGAGTGACAGCAGAACGTGAGCAGAGTTGCACGTTCAGAATGGCATAAAAATACTGTTCTTGAGTACAGGACTTCTGATAAAGATGGATGCCTGGGTGCCTAAGTGGAGGGGGCGAGGAGGAGGATTGCAGGGCGTTTCCCCCCCCCCTTCCCAATTTGGAACCTGGTCTGTTTCAGGAGCGAGAGGAGCCCCACGTGGATTGCTACGAGTGTGAGGTGGACGTCTCTCCTTCCCGCACTGGGGCCTTTTCTCTAACCTCTGGAGACCTTGGGGACATCAGCTCCTTTTCCTCCAAGGCGTCCGGACCTCAACACACTTCCAGTGGAGGAAGCAGTGCTCTGTCTGCCACTCACAGCCGCGCAAACTCTGCAGGCCGAAGAGGGGTCTCTCAAGACTTGGCCTTGCCCCACGCGGTCAGGAAGCCGAGGTGGGTGGGGGCTTTGGAGACTACGGGGGAGTTTGCACGGAAGTTGGTTCTGCCATTCTTGGGTGTGAGAAAGTCAGCTGACCTCTTGAAAGAGGAGTTCATGTCAGAGTTCAGAAACTGAGCTCTAAAACTTCAAGGGTAGTTTAACCTATTGAGGACAGATGTAGATAAACAGATGTGAAGAGTCCAGATGTTTGGCAAAACTTTGTGAAGGCCAACCCTTTATTGAAAGTTCCATCCGAACTCAGTAATGAGGAAAAAGAATATTAAATTTATTTATTTAATTTATTTGGCCGCCCATCTCAACCATTGACTTTGGACTACAAAATTTTTACCCCCTTTTTCTTTTTCTGGAGAGACTTTTATCTTTTCATTCTTAGCCAGTTCCAGGGCTTTCCGAAAGGAAAAGGAGCTTTTATGTCCATGATTAATGTGTCGTGAACTTGAGAGGCTTCCGAGTGGGGAAGCTAAGCTGCCTCTTATCTCCCCAGCCCTAAGAAGGGGACCAGCTTCTGCCCAGCCCATCGTGAGCATGGCAAAGTTGCAGCGGAGGATGAGGTGGAAGACCCAGGCCCCAGCAACCAGCAGTGTGGAGGTGCACCTCTCACTCCCCGTGGGCGAGGGCGAAGGGGCCGCCCCACTTCCCGATCGACCGGAGCCAGGTAGAGTCGTGGCGGTGGAAGCAAAAGTTTCTTGGCAGGGCTTTGAGCCTCCTGTAATCCCTCTCCGTGTTTCTGCAGGGGCTCCGTGCAGGCTGAGGCAGATCTTTCAACCTCCACCTCTTTGGACGGGCAGCCCAGCCTGAGTCCACTTCTGGAGGGACAGGAGCAAGCTGACCCCCCTCCGTGCCGCAGTGGCTCCCCCGAAATCCCTTTGCAGGAGCAGCCAAGCGTCTCTGATAATCCCAGGCTCCCTTCCCCTGGGAGCTGCCTCGTGGGCCTCCGGGTGGTAGCCAAGTGGTCCTCCAATGGCTACTTCTACTCAGGGACTATCACGCAGGATGTGGGCGGGGCCAAGTACAGGCTGCTCTTTGACGATGGCTATGAATGTGACGTTCTGGCCCGAGATGTCCTTCTGTGCGACCCCCTCCCTCTGGAAACGGAGGTGACCGCGCTCTCCGAGGATGAATACTTCAGTGCAGGTAACCGTCTGCCGGTTCGGGAGATGCCCATCGCTCGGGGTGGTGGGACGAGGGGAGGGAGCAAGATTGGGCCCCCGACCTGTAGCTCTGCCTTTGCTGCAGGTGTGGTCAAGGGCCACCGGAAGGAGGCGGGGGAGCTGTTCTATTGCATCGAGAAGGATGGACAGCGGAAGTGGTACCGGCGGACGGCTGTTATCCTGTCTTTGGAGCAAGGGAACAGACTCCGGGAGCAGTTTGGGCTCGGCCCCTGCCAGCCTGCCACTCCTCTGACCAGGGCGGCCGATATCAGCCTAGGTGCGGCCCTGACACAGGCGTCTCAGATGGGGACCACATTCCACGTTCCCAGGTGGCCAGAGTGGAGTGGCTGGGTTGGAGACCACAACACAGAGGAAGTCCTGGCCCTCTGTGCACTTGGCCTTTGTGCAGGGCTAGAAAGATGTGGGCTGGTCATCCGGGATGGCGCACCCAGGGGAGGGCTGCAGGAAGGCTGCGGCTGCCCTGTGCCAGGAGGTGGAAGCTGACTCTGCTTTACCTGTTGGACCCAGATAACCTGGTGGAGGGAAAGCGGAAGAGACGCAGCATCGGCTCACCCGGCCCCTCCAGTGGCAGCACAACTCCCGTCCGCAAGAGCCCAGAGTCACTTTCCAGTAAAAGGAAACTGGCTGCTGTCTCAGAGGAGGAGCAGTCCCCAGCCAAGCGAGGGCGGCGACTGGTACTGTCTAAAGCAGGTAAGGCTCGCTCAGGTGATCCTGGTCTCTGGTGCCCTCTCCTGAGCCTGGGTGGCTGCGATTCCGAGGAGCTCCTCCGGTTACTTCTTCCCACGCTGAGAAGGCATCCTGGGATGTCCCTGCTGGTGTCCCTCGGGCTCTTTCTTCTTTCCCTCTTGGGTTATTTTTGGGAAGACCTGGCAAGGGGCAGGAGTTGACCTTTCTCTCTCGGTTGGCAGGAACTGCGAATGCCAGGGAGGTGGCAAGCCCATCAGGAAGTGGAAAGTCTTCAGGTGAACCCTTGGCACTTGATCACCGATGGGGTCCTTTGCCCCAGAACAAAACTCTGTTTTTGGGCTATGCCTTTCTTCTCTCCATGGCGAATGCAACAGATAAGCTTTCTAGCCGCCAGAAGACTACAGTGAGCAGTGAAGAAGAAGAAGGTGAGGCCGCCTGGCTTGCTGGTATCCTGTTGAAGCACTCCAAATTCTCTAGTTGTAGATAATTGAGGTGGTGCTACGTATTGCATTAAAGTTACTCATCTTGCACGAGGGATGGGGCTGTGGTTAATATGTAATATTCTCCTTCGTTGGCATCTCACACTCTTCTCAAAGGCAGGATGGGGAGATCCCTGTCACGGGATGGCCCCCAAAAGGAGGTGTGTGTGTGTGTGTGTGTGTGTGTGTGTGTGTGTGTGTGTGTGTTGGAACAAAAAGAAATACTCGAGAGCTTCAGAATCTCTGGATTAAATCTCCAAGAGTGAGGGCGGTCAGCGAGGCTTCAGAGTGACAGAAATACACTGAGGTCACTGAGGCTCTCCCTCACTGCAAGCTCAAAATACTAGAGACCTTTGAAGGAAAGCATGCTGAGAAAAGAATAGCAGGATGAAGCCCCTTCTGTCCAGGAAGGAAACTTTTGAGACACTCAAGTCAGATGTCCAACCAGTATTAAAAGACACCTCCCCCCCCCCGTTGATTATCCATTTTCTGCTGCTTTCCCAAAACCGAGCTTCTGCATTCCCTTATAGCAACCACTGCAGTCCACAATTTTGTGCACAGGTGTGCGCACGCGCATGTGCCCCAGGGAAGAACATTGTTCCCTTGAACTTTATGATCTGCTCTGAGGTGTTATTGGAGGCACTTGATGAAGTATGCAATGCTGGTTTGCTCCGCCGAGCTGTGTATGTTCTGGAAAAGTTAAGAATTGTCCAATATATTTTCATGTTCCAGAATTTGTGGAGAGAGTACCTTACGACAAACCCTACACTGAGCTACAACTCCAAGCAGGAGGCGGTTTCATCCTAGAGGACTTCAACGAAAGCCAGGTCAGAGTCGGGGGTGGGTGGGAGTGGGCAGCATGCCTCTAGGGCAGGGAGACGAGCTGTGAGCCAAACCCACTCGGGGAGATTCTTATTCATTCTTATTTGAGATGCAGGTGTATTGTACAAGACAAAATGCCCCCCCCCCCCGATTCTGGAATGCCTGCAAATCTCTTGAGGCGACCTCCATTTGTGGCGGTGGCTGCCTTGGAAGGACTGGCATCAATGTGACTCCCCCTCCCACCCCCTTCTTGATCCAGTGCAGCGCAGCCTATGACTGCCTCCTCATAGCAGACCAGCACTGCCGCACCCGGAAGTATTTCCTGTGCCTTGCCCGGGGAATACCGTGTGTGTCTCACATGTGGGTCCATGACAGTTGCCTCGCCAACCAGACTCAGAACTACAAGAACTACTTGTTGCCGGCTGGCTACAGCCTGGAGGAAGAGCGGTTGCTGGAGTGGTGAGTGCCCGGCGGTAGGCAGGGAGGCGGCCTGGGCCTTGTGGTGCTCAGGCATTGGGGGAGCCAACCAACTTCAGCCCGAGTGGGAAAAGGGAGACGCTGCTGTCACGACAGGAACACCTCTGGTGTTCAGCGGTGCCCACGGATGCGTCGCTGCTCTTCTTTTTAGGCACCCGCGCAGAAATCCCTTCCAGAGGCTGAAGGTGCTCCTGGTGTCCGACGAGTCCCAAAACTTCCTGGAGCTCTGGTCGGAGATTCTGATGATGGGAGGAGCCGCTTCGGTTAAGCAGCAGGAATCCTCAACCTGGAAGAACGGTACAGGCAGCGGCCACCGGCTCTCGGGCAAGGGGTGACGGGGAAAATCGCTGTTCAAACATTTTTGAGAGCGGGTTGGAACAGCGTCCCCCCTCGTTGTGTGCTGCAGTTGAAGGCGTATTTTGCCTCTGCGTAAAGAAGGGCTTGACGTAAAAAAAGTTAAACGGCACCTTTTCTATTCTTAACAGGATTCTTAGGATCCTTTTGAGAAACTGCAGGAGTCTCCTGCAAGATCACCCTTTCATTGAAAAGTGTTAAGAGTGGGATATGCAATGCTGGACACTGACAGCCGTTGTTTTCTGTTCTTACAGATTTGAGTTTGGGGGTGTTTGATGTGGTGGTGACAGACGCTTCCTACCCAGCTGCCATGGTGCCCTGTGCCAAAGCATTACAGCTGCCAGTAGTAACCCAGGAGTGGGTGATCCAGAGCCTCATTGCTGGGGAGAGAGCTGGTTTTAAATATCCTCAATATCAACATGATTATGTCCCCTGTTAAAGCTCCCTTTTTGTTTTGTGGTGGTGATCATTCTCTAGATTTTAAATTTTTTTGTGTTGTTGCATGGCGTGCTTGTATATAGTTTTAATGTGAACTTTTATGATGAAATAAATGTGATTTCTTATCTTGGCTATCATAATACTATTACTTGCATGATGGAAGGATTTATCATCCATTACTTCCATCCAGCCAACCGTGCTGGTTGAGGAATTCTGGGAGTTGAAGTCCACAAGTCTTAAAGTTGGAGACTCCTGCTATAGAATATAGAATTTGTTATTACAATGCAAGAATCTATGTTGTGTGAACCCAGGAAGGAAATTTAGTGTGAGTGCTCTTGGTACACAACAGGGGCTGGGAAATTCCAAACTTATGCTCCTCTCCTCCCTTTTTGCAGCAGAAACTTTCTTGCAGAAAAACTTCCAGACAGACTTGCTGAGTCCCAGGTGTGCAAGAAGAGGAAGTTAAATTAAAAGCAGTACAGACCAGTCTAAATAAGTATACTTAGAAAAGCTGATTTGAAGAGCAGCAAACGCAAGAAGGGAGCACGGTAAGATGGGATAGCTGCCAAAAATTTGATTTTCTTTCTAGGCTTTGTGAAGCAAGAGCAATTAAGAGTGTTTAATTTTCTATCTCTGGGACACTTGCCTGAATTGGCATATTTATTTCAAAATCACATGAAGCAGTGTACTCCCTCCACCTTTGTTCTTACACCCCCTATTTCCAGGCCATCTCCTTGAAAAAATCGATTGCGTAAAAAAAGACAATATCTGTTACTTTCTTTTTCATTAAGGGCTCCAGCAGTTTTGTTAGGAAATAAAATGGCTCCTCTGATATTTTGGGAGTTTTTTTCCCAGCAGAGGCAGCAAATGTTGATGGCCTCTTGGCCTGGTTCAAACGGTGTGTCTTCAGCACAGTCCCTGTATCCAGACACCGGCCCCTCTGAGCCAGAGAAGCAAAGGGAAACAGCCTCAGCAGCTGAAACCTCCAAAGCCAGGTTACTTTTCACATACTGCTCCATCTTCAGAAATAGAACAAAAAATATTTTAATAACATTATAGTTATCAGCTGATTTTGGTTTAGCAATGGTGAAGGTGACCGCGTCGAAGGGCTGGACTTCTGGCTCTGCAGTCACAGCAAAAGGGACTGACTGCATTTGGGAGCCTAAAGCAAGCGGCGCTTCTCACTTTGCTTCAAAAGAAGCCCAAGGACAGCACTCCCCCCCCCCCCCGAAAGCTATTTAATATACAAAGCTCCACTTGCAAATGCTGAGACGGCCCTGCAAGAAACATGACCAAGTTGCTCTGAGGGCAAATCTCGCGCCTCCATCCTCCTTCACCGGTGTGGCTGGAATGTAGCTGCTGCCATTGCAGACCAGGACACTTCTTGAAAAGCGTGGCCTCGGATTCTATCTGTGGGCTAATCATTCTAGCCCCACACTGTAGAGAAAGAAAAGTAATTCAAAAGGAGGACAGGGATGAAGCCAATTATACACCAATTAAGATATATATTGTAATACACGGACAGATTACAACAGACACGAGCGTGATCTAACCAATCACAAAAGATCTGGGAGGCAGATTCTTCTTCTGCGGTTACCCCAATGTGTGATAGGGAAGCAAGCCTGGAGGGCATCCAGAGACCGGAGGGGAAGCCACAGGGCTCAACACTGCCTTTGGCCAGGTGTTCCCCACTGGTTCTGTTGGAAGGTGGCTAGAGGAGCATGCTCTGCTTTGGGGTGCTGGCCTTACCTGCCCAAAGTGCCTCCAGCGTGAGTGTAGTACTTGTTGTAGTCCAGGCGTAACAGCAGCTGAGCCAAGTCAGAATTTATCTGGTGGTTGTGAACACTGGAAAGAATCTTGAACAGAAGGGAGGACTGGCAGCTGAAGCCCTGCAAAGGGACAGGCACGCGTCAGAGCAGCCTTCTAGAGGAGGGGTCTCCAACATGTGATCCGTGGCCCGGGCCCCAGGAACGGCTGGCTCTTCAGTGTGTGTCTGTGTATGTGACTGTGTGTACCCACCTTAGCCAGGATGCTCAGCTGGGCTGTACCCCGTTCATCTAGGGGCCCTCGGTTCTGGCTGACCAACGAACAGAAATTATGGCAGAGATCTAAAATTTCATTCAGACAGTGAAAAGCCTACAAAATAATGATCAGAAGTGGGTTATATTATTATGTACTCATTTATCTTCCCACAGTTGTAACTATTATTCTAAACCAATTTTACCAATGAAAATATTAATCAGTTGAGCTCTGGGTTTTGTGAACTCAACACTTTTTTAACAACTTGGATGAGAAGTACGGAGAGAATGCTTATCAAATCTGCAGACATTGCAGAACTGATTGGACACTAAGAACACAAGAAATCTAGCAAAATGATCTTGATACATTATAGAATTGGGCTGAAAATAATATTGAATGTTAGAAATCAAATGCAGTTTTTGAATGGGAAAATACCCAGCTGGGCATTCATACTTAAAGATCTAGAAGACTAGCTGAGTGCAAACTGCGAACTAGCAGCCTGATAAGACTGCAAAAAGGCAAATGCAACTTTAAACTATGTCAGCAGAACTAATTCCTAACTTATAGGGCTTAATCATTATATTGATAACTCCTAGTTTGAGTGAGTGTCCATTCAACTGTAAAGGATTCAAACTTGCTAGAACAGATGACCTCAAGGTGAGCAACAAGGAAAATTGAGGCAAGACAGAAAGGCCCTCTTCAAGTACCTAACAGGAGGTCAGTAACAAAAAGTAGCCTAGATCTATTTTCTACCGTAAGAGAGGGCACAAGATGGGATAATGGGCTGAAGTTGCTGGAAGGCTGATTCCAGTGGAATATTCAGGAAAAGAAAATGCTACCAGGAAGAGCAGTTCTTCAGGGGAACCAATTACCCAATCACTCAACAGTTAAGTCAACCATCTATAATGGGGGGGGGGATGAGTGAGCCAAAGACGGGGGCATGCCACCCTCCCCCATATTTCCTTCAAGCTTTGCATGCACTGACCAGGAGGACGCACTCCAAGGAGCCAAGAGGGGAAACGGTTGACGACAATGTACACAAATAGGAGCTACTTGCCGGTTTCAAGAGAATGAAGGACTGGGCCAGGAGATTGCTCAAAAAGTGATCGTGGGCCAGTCGGATACTCTCAAAATCACGGGTAGAGTTAATCTGTTGAAGGAGCTGTGAGAACTGAGACTCCAGGACATCCACCTGAAAGAAAGCAAACCAGAAGCATTGCTTTTAACATCGAGGGTCAAGGAAAAGTAGAGAAGTACTTGTAAGAAGTTGTGAGAGCAATTTCAGCCGGCAGAAAAAGCTGAGAACAAAGCAACTGAGCCGTTCGGCCCCTTTTTCAGCCGCCCAGGCAAACACTTACTTGCAGGTAATACTGCAAATTGTCCACAAGGAAAGTCATGTGATGGCGCAGTTGCCACTTGATGGCATCCGTCCGCCGGGATTCCAGGCACTTGCACCGCATCTGCAGAGCCCAGCAGTGCTGCAGCTCGGCTTGGACTCGCCTCACGCTCAGCAGGTATTTGAAGACCACGTTGTACCTGCAGCCAAAGAGTTGGTTGGGCTGAGCTTCAGGGCAGGAAGCCCCCCAGAACACCAGCAGAAGCCCCCCTCCCACTTCCCACCACCCCAGAGAAGGCAGCGCTCACTTTTCCAGGACGGCAGGAGTGAAGAGGATGTGCAAAGGCCACTGAACTTTGTAGGAGAGCCCCAAGGCAGCCCAGCCGGACGTGGGGGACTCGTGGGGAGACAGCTCTCGAGAAGGGGTTTCCCGGTTCTGCAAAGGGTCTGAAAAGGGAGCCAGTCAACAACCTGGATTTAAGGCCGCAGCTCAGAGGGCTGGAGCTGGTGGCCCCTCCGGTAGCCTCTCCTGCGAAGAGCTCCGAGGCCTCCAGGCAGGAGGCAGCAGCCTCTGCCCTGCCAGCCATGACTGGGCGTGCTGTCTTCGAGGAATAACTGAAGTTGTGGCTTAGTGCAGGTTTCTGCTCGAGGGAGGGGGGATCCCATTCTTAACTCCCCAACACGGAGTCTGGCCTCTTGCACCAACACCCACCTCGGTGTTCCTTTCCGTGGTAATGGATGATCAGGTGAAGAAAAGGCAGGAGATTGTCGTCGTCCAAGAGCACTCTGTGGGCTGATTGCTGGAATGCCACATTCACATCTGAGGGGAGGAGCAGGGGGGTGCCTTTCAGAGGGGGGGGGTGGTGGAAAGAAAATAGGCCTTTTGCTGCCTCCCCCTTTTCACACCCCTCTTGGAGGCCAAACAACTACGCCTCTCTCCTCTGCCTTGGCAGAAATGGCACACAAGGAGCATTTTGAGCCTTTTTGGAGACGGGGAGACTCACCGTGCTCAGTCATTGCGGATGGTGGTGTCTTTAGCATGTGCTGTGCAGCATCTATAAAGGCCTGAAACAATTCTCCTCTCCCCAGGAGATAAAAGTCTTTAATGACCTAGAAGGAAGACAGCGTCCTGAAAGCCACCCTGTTCAGTAGCCTCGACCACCCTTCCTTCCTTCCTTCCACTGGGAAACAGGACCTCACGAGTTGCAGGAACGCCTATTTACCTTCAGCTGGCCTATCAAGTCGGACTCTTCCACCATCAGCTTCCATAAGTGCTTAGGAAAGAGAAAAGTCCCAGCGTCAAGATCTAGACGCTGCACCCAACGACAACTGTGCCATCCAAAGCTCCTCTCTCCGCTCAATCCTTGTGCAAGGTCACCCCCCCCGCCTCCCTCCTTGCAGGATGGCCATCCCTCCATGGGTTGGGTTTCTTCTAGAACTTCTCCCCGTCATGAAAAGATTCCTAAGGGTCCTTTGCCACAATGCTTCACGTGCAAAGCCTGACATTCTGCCTGACCTCCGCCACGGTGCTCCGGATCCAGTCAACCACAGACTCAAAGTCCATCAGATGGAACAGGGGCTGCTGCTTGAGGCGATGCAGCTCAGCAGCAAAAGTATCTTCTTGGTTCTTCAGGATGGAGCCTGTGAGAGAAGAGATTTCCAGGGAGGCTTTGCCGTCTTTTCAAGGCCTTGTATGTGCAATTGAAGGAGGCTGTGTAAACACATCAGCCTAGACAAGACCCCAGGAACAGTAACAAAGACAGAGGCGAACATTTGGGAACCAGACAGAGTTTGTCAAGGGAATCGATAAAGATTTAGCTTGCATTACAGAAGAATGAGAAGTTTCGAATATTTAAAAGAAAGAAAATCAGCCTCAGAAAGAGAGGAAGAACTTCGCAAAGTTGAATGGCTGAAATGGGTCGCCCAAGATCTTTCTTTGATCTTCTAGTCAGAAAGGCCTCTCATAACCTGGATCACTGACCCAATTCAGATGGATCTCAAGGGACCTCTTTCAGGTTCTGCTCATCCCTGATGGTCCAGCAAAACAGGAGCTTTGAGCACACCTGGCCTATTTGTGGAGAAGGATTACCCAGCCTTGAGAAGAAGTGCAGAGTAGCTGGCAGGAAAGGATTCCTGCAGCTGGACTGCAACCAGCATGCAAACCATCTATCTGCTGAACCAGTCCACAATAATTCCTAGCTCACTTGGAAGAAATCACAGCCAATCACAGTACCTTTTTTGGTAAGAGCCACATTCTGACTCTCAAACATCTGCACGGATTCCCCTACAAAGAGGATTTTTTCGGCGACACGAGCTGGAATGTAGGAAGGCAGCATCTCCATCCGGAGAGAGAACTGCTTTGGAGAAGGGGCCAACATATTCTCTTCCTCAATCAGCCTCTGTTGGAACAAAGGTTGGTGGAAGGGGGGGGAGAAACACAAGGGATTGATTCTAACACAAAGAACCCCAAGAGCAATGCATGGGACATCAACCCTTTTAGAAGGTTTGGGAGAGATGCCCAAGACAGGAGGAATCTGTCTCTTAATTTAAGAGTTCAGGGACTGGGAGAAACAATGCCAAGCTTGGGGAGAAAATATTGCCATGTTGCCCTTGTTCCCAAAGTTTATTCTTCCCTTAATTCTCTTCTAAAAAACACAAGGAAGTGAGAACACCCTGTACATTCGCCCCAATTTGATACTCTTTCAAAACGGCCTGAAGACCTGCTTTGCCAATGGACCCGGGGATCTCAGGGATATATGGAGCCCATCAAGTAGTGTATTTGATTGTTGTTGCCAGGGGGATGAGGATTTACTGGATTTTGAATTTGGGGTTACTCATTTAAGCTTCCTGGAGTGTGAGTTGGATGAGCGTCAAATTTTCTTAATAAAATAAATACATAAGCTTGAGTTCAAAAACGGGGGGACCATGGGGAAGACTCAATCTCACCATATCTTGCAGCTCTCGCAGTTGCTTTCCTGTGAGTCCTCCGATGCCCAGATCATCGTCGTCTTCTTCAGGCTGGGCCGGGATGACCCCCAGAGAGGGGCCCTGCCTGATGAAGAACTCCTCGTGCTGATCCAAGAGCAGTCCGTGCAGCATCCAGGCGGAGAGCTGCTTGTATAAAACGGCATGGCACATGGCCAGGACCCTGCAGAAGTGCAAACGGAATAAAAAGTTCAGGAGACACTCAGCTTCACGTGACGGGCAGCAAATGGAACCGGCAGCCAGGCAGCATCTCCTCCTTGGGCAGCTGCCCATTCCAATTAAAGCCCCTGAATTCCAGATGCTCTGAATTGCTCCCTTTGGTCATTTATGGAGAGCTGGTAAGAAGAAACACCACTGAAAGCAGCTTTATGCTTGTGTCCGGGGCAGGGGGGGGTTACTGGGGTACACCTAAAGGCCACCAAAGAATTGGAGTTCCTTACTTCTCCAGAGCATGGCGCACCGGTGGCAAGCCACCACGGCTGTATTTGTAGACTGTCTCCAAGATCTGACAACCGTGAATCTGCCAAAGAAACAAATTCAGATAAATCACTTGCAGGAAAGAAAACCAAAGGTGCCCAAACACCAACTGCCTTCCAGAAGGTTTGCAGCAGACAACAATAATGAACTGCATTTATCACCCCTTTTTACATTTCTGCCCAATAACAACAGCACAGACTTATATATTGCCCCACAGTGCTTTACAATGTGAGCATATTGCCCTCAACAATCTGGGCCTTCCTTTTAATGATTTCCGAAGGATGGAAGGCTGAGCCAACCTCAAGCCCCATCAGGATCGAACGGCAGGCTGTGAGCAGAGTCAGCCTGCAATGCTGCATTCTAACCTCTGTACCACCCTAACAGCAATATAACGTCTCTTTTGCATTTCTCATTTCCATCAAGATGAAAAGAATCAGTCTCAACTAAGCTGTTGGCCAGATATCTATATTTTTATTAAACTACTCCATGAATAAGCTTCCATTAACAGAGGCAGGAATACCGTACCTTCTGGGTCTTTATCTGCTCTACCACAATCATCAGTGAGGGAAACAAGAGCTGAAACTGTAAAACAAAAATTAGTATTTAAAATATACTTGTTTAGTGAATTGGGGCAAAAAATAAATAGTTGCTCAGCAGATTTGACAATCTGATATCTGGCCATGGAAAAACCCTTCTCCTGAGCTGCCTTCAAGATATGTATCATGTTTCCTTTGGGCTGTGATTGGTCCTTACTATCTATAGAACCTTTACAAAAAAAGATACCAAACATCTTTTAAATGTTAAGATAACAGAGATGAATGTAGCTTTCAATTTTTTTCCTTTTGTTCAGTCGTGTCTGAATCTTGGAGACTGCCTGGATAAATCCCTGCAGTTTTATTAGCAAGGTTTTTCAGAAGTGGGTTGCCATTAGCTTCCTCCTAGAGCTAATTAAAAGTGACTGGCCCAAGGTCACCCAGTTGGCTTCCTGTCTAAGGCAGGACTAGAACTCACGATCACCCATTTTTAGCCAGAGGCCTTAATCTTGAAACCAAACTGGCTCTCATTTTAAAATAATAGCACAGGGCTAATTGCATTCTCCTAAACAGTACTGGGGTTTTTCAATAAAGTGATTCAAAATGATACATAAATGCTACTTCAAATAGATACAGATATACACATACATATATACATATATATACATACATACATATATATGTCTTGAGTGTTTTTTTGATGCGCCCTGTCGGCCCAAATATGGGAGGAAAAAATACATATATACATACATACATACATACATACATACATACATATAAAAGAATTTTAAATCAAAACCTAGATCTAACTAGCAACTTCAGTTCTGCAGAGGCAATCCAAGATACCAAACTCAATGAAAATCACCATCCTAGGCCACGGGGGCCGGCCCGCTCTCAGCACAGGGAGGCAACTGATGAAAAATCACACTTTTAATCAACAGAAAGGCTCCCGACATGGACCAGATATTGCAGCAATCACAGGAAGGCTTCATCTTTTTTTAAATTTATACATATTTAACTGCCCATCTTTGCATAGCGCAGGTTGGCGGAACCGGCTCACCCCTCATTGCAAGCATGACTCTGCCAGTCTGGAATCCTTTTCACAATCCCCACCTCTAACCTGGAATCTAGGCAGCCTGGGAGGGCGGGAGGCTGACCTCAAAGAAGAAACGTGCTGGGAAACAAAAGAAGTTCACAGATCTCGTGAAGTTGGAAGGTCTGATTGCACTTTTCTTTTTTTTTTTAGTCCCATGAACTTCTTTTGTTTCCCTGCATGTTTCTTTTTTATATATTGTTGCATCTGGGAAAGTATCCTCAAAGTGCAGATGGAAATGACTTCTTGGGCAATACTCACCTGGTCCAGAGAATAGTTGACATACGAGATGGTAAGGTGTGGATCAGCCAGAAACTGCCCAAAACAAAGGGATAAAGTGTGAGCATTCACAACTGAGCCTTTTTTTTGGGGGGGGGAGAAAGAGACAGGTTGTCAGGATGTAACCTTCTGAATGTTATATAGCCTGCAATACCTTATTCCAGATAAGCTTCTACTCTGTCAGAAAATGCAAACTTGGCCCGAGACAAACCAGCATCGTGGCCATTCGGGTTGGGGTCTTCCCCCCCCCCGAAGCACCCAGCTTCCTCCTTGCACACCTGGCCCTCACCTCCTGCTCCAAGCCCAGCAGCGCCTGCCGGTAGGGCTGCAGCACGGCATCTAGCCCGGTGCAGAAGGCGCGCAGGTAGATCCCCGGTGGGGAGGCCAGCAGCTCCTGCGGAGAGGCGAAGCCAGGCGGTGACTCCCCGTGGGGCCCCTGGGAAAGCCCCCCACCCCTCCCTGGGAAAGGCGCACCTGCAGCGGCGGCAGTGGCGGCTGGGCGTGCTCGGCGAACTGCTCGATGAACTCTTGCAGGCGGATGTAGAGGGAGCCCAGGCGGCAGATGCGGGCCAGGAGGGCGGCCTCGCTGGGGTGCAGGAACGGCGGCGGCTCCGGGGACACCTGCGGGGAGAGGGGGAGGATTTAGGGCAGGGGTCTTCAAACTCGGCCCTTTTAGGGCTCGTGGACTTCAACTCCCAGAATTCCTCAGCCAGCATGCCTAGCTGAGGAATTCTGGGAGTTGGTCCACAAGCAGTAGGCAACCTTGGCCCTTTTAGGACTCGTGGACTTCAACTCCCAGAATTCCTCAGCCAGCATGCCTGGCTGGGGAATTCTGGGAGTTGGTCCACAAGCAGTAGGCAACCTTGGTCCTTTTAGGACTCGTGGACTTCAACTCCCAGAATTCCTCAGCCAGCATGCCTGGCTGGGGAATTCTGGGAGTTGGTCCACAAGCAGGAGTAGGCAACCTTGGTCCTTTTGACTTGTGGACTTCAACTCCCAGAATTCCTCAGCAGCGTGCCTGGCTGAGGAATTCTGGGAGTTGAAGTCCACGAGTCATAAAAGGGCCGAGTTGGAAGACCCGATTTAGGGCGCTGGCCGGGCCCGCAGAGGGAGGGAGGGCCGCTCCGCCCGCGCGCTCCCCGCCCACCTGCAGGCCGCCGCCGCCGCCCACGAAGAGGCCGCCCGGGTAGCCACGCAGCGCCAGCAGCAGTTCGTGGATCATGGCGCCGCGTGGGGGCCGGCCCTTAGCCGCCTCTTCGCAGGAGCCGCGACGACGCCTCCGGGAACAGGGCAGAGCCGGCACACCCCCGCGAAGACCCGGCCGAGGCCTCGATCGCCGCCGGATGAGGCGCCGGGACTCGCGAGGACGGGATGGGGTCCTTCAGGCATTTAGCTTGGCCGCCTGTCTAGCAGCTCCGGCCACGCCCCCCGGGCGCGTCAGAGCCGCCCTGCGCTGATGCCGCCTGCCGGGAGGGGGGCGGGGGGGGACACGGCCGGCCGGAGGAGCGCCGAGGTGGCAGAATGCCCTCAGCCTGGCGAGAGGAGGGAAGGCGGGCAGGCGACTCTCTGTGGCCCGGCAGAAGGAGGGCAGGGGGAAGAGGCTGTCAATACCTGAGCAGGGGGTTGGACTAGATGACCTTCAAGGTCCCTTCCAACTTTACTATTATTATTACTTCCTCACTCTCGCCTAAAGCAGGGGTCCTCAACCTTTAAGACTTGTGGACTTCAACTCCCAGAATTCCTCAGCCAGCCAAGGACTTGAGCGGACAGCAGGGGAGGTGCCAGTGGGGTGCAGGGTGGCCGAAAGGGCGGGGCAGATGTGACTGGCGAAGTCCTAAGTGCGAGTGGGCTGCCAAATGCCCAGATTTTGATCCCGGGGCGGCTGCAGTGGCCGAGGCCTGGTGATGACTCCCATTCATTCAGCGCCTCCAAGGGTCGCTGAGCAAAGGTCAAACGGGGGCTACCTGTCCAAAGAGAGTGGCTGAGGTTGCACAGCAGGAGAAGCCTCAAAAAGCCCCACAGGAGTTAGAAATGGCCCACGCTCCAGGGACTTTCCCCGGAGTGGGTTGGAATAGCAGGCTGGCTGGCTGAAGTGGCCTAAGAATAGCAACCCTTTGGACATGGAGATGGTAAAGGAGGTGGTGCCTCGCTTAGACCTTAAAAATGGTTCTTTATATGGCAATGTATTCTCGGAATACCAGGAATGGCCAAATGATTCATTGTAACTCTCCAGGGATTATTAGCAAATTTGATGGGGTTCATTTAAAAAAAAAGATCAAAAATCTTGAGTAGGCAAAATGAGAACACCATCAAAAGTCAGTCCAATTTTGCCTTTTGGTTTAAGTTGCGGTGAAGGATATATAAATACAGTGTATCGTTTTGGGGAGTTCTGGTATGGCAAAGCCGGAGATTCTCTGGCCCAAAATATTATTTCATTACAAGCAGGGTTGGGTTAGCATCCTTATTAAGTTCTTCAACAATTCAGGAAGGCAGGTATACAAAATCTGGCATTGTTTATATCCTTAGATTAGGAGGAGGAGCAAAGCATTAAAGAAAACTAGATCTTATATGGGCTTCTCTTTGAATGGCTCAATGATTAAAAATATTAGTTCATTTTTAAAATGACTTTAGAGGCCGCGGCGAAGAGGCTCGGCGGGACTGCCCAGGCGCGCTTCCGCTCCGCTCGTTCCCGCCGCGGCCGCGCCCTCCCTGCGCCGACACCCACGGGCGGAGCCGCCTGGCCGCTTCCCCTTCGTCTTCCTGCCTTCGCCCTCGGACGGCCTGCGCCGCGTTGCGTTGCGCTGTGCTGCGCTCCCTCCGCTCCGCACCCGCCAGAGAACCCCCGCCGCCCGCGCCTATGGCTGCTCCGGAGGAATGCGACGGGACGGGCGCGGCCCGGCCGCACTACGGCTGTGAGTCCGCGCGTGGCAGGCGGGGGGGGGAAGCGGGGCGGGAGGGGGGCGCGGGGCGGCCGGGCGGCGGCTTCCTTGACGGCGCGCCCGATCCCAACCGGCTTGGCGGCGCGCGGGCTGCAGGGGTTGCCGCCGCCGCTCCCGACCCGGCCTTCCGCGCCCAAGATGGCCGGAGAGGCTGCTGCCGCCCCACCGCCGCCGAGGAGCGGCCTGCTCCTGCACGTCTCCTGCCCGGCAGCTGCGGATCGGGCGCAGAGCCCGGCTTGGTGCGCGCCGGGCCCTGCGGCCGCCCTTGGCCAGACCCTCCCGGGGATCTGGCTCCTCAGGCCGGGCGCCTTGGCGACCTTCCCTTCCCGGCCGCATCACTCCCTCCCGGCCCGCAGCAGCCTCTCGGCCGGCGCGAGGCGGTGAGGGTGAGCCGCCGCCGCCGCGGAGAGGAGCGGCCGGGCCGGAAGGGAACCCGTTGTCGGCCGGGGGGCCTCCCAGGGACCTGAGCAGGCGGCCCCAGGGCGGGAAAGGCCCGGACCGGCCGAGTCGGCGGCGAAGAAACGGCGGCGCTCCGTCCCCTCGGAAGCGCCCCCGCCGCCCCGCCGGGAGTGACCGCGCCTCTCTTTGCAGCCGTGCTGGACAACGAGAGGATGACGGCGGAGGAGATGGACGAGCGGCGGCGCCAGAACGTGGCCTACGAGTATCTCTGCCACCTGGAGGAGGCCAAGAGGTGAGCCGGGAGCGCCGGCGGCCCCAAGCAGGGTCGGGCGGGGTGGGGGGGTGAAGGCGACCGGCTTGGTCGCTTGGGTTGCCCGCCGACCTGGACGGCTGCTCGGCATGGTTTTCGTGGCCTCCGCCTGCTTCCTCCTGAAATGGAGCCCCTGCCCATCCATTGTATGCATTTATTCAAGCCCCAGGCTTTCCGGGAATGCCGTCATGGGCAGCTTTTCCTTGTAGGAGGAAGACACCTCCTGTGATCTGCTCAACACGAATGGCCTGCCCTGATCCAGGATCAAATTCTAGGGACCTCTCATGGGTGTGTGGTTGGCCATCAGGGAAACCTGTTTTCTGAGAAATAATATTGAAAAGTATGTTGCTTGATGATCTTTTCCAGGGAGTGGGTGGCTCTCCAGGCAAGGTATGATGTCAACTGTTTTCATTTTTGTGTACCCTTTTTATGATGTGTAGCATGATCTCAAGCTTTCTTTGTTTACCTCCCAGTATAGCGGGAACTCTTGCCCAAGAATGAGATGAGGAAATGTGTCATTCTTTCCTTCCATTTCTTTCTCTCTTTTGGCACATACTTTTATGGGAGATGTTCTCTGTCAATAACTGATTTCCCAGATTACAGATAACAAAATTCTTTGAAGAAACATATGGATTCAAAGTTTTCACAAACTCCATACAGTATTGAACAAATCTTTGGCTGTGTTAGTAAGCCAAAACTGTTGTAATTGTGCAATACGTTCTGCTGAAATAAACCATATTGTGATTTTTAAGGGACCAAGTGGGTGCAAATCCCCATAGTCACACAATTACAATCTGGGCATTTGGCAATCCATTTGCACTGACTGGTTGCCAGGCGCCCCACAATCAGGTGGTTGCCATTTGCAGTCTTCCCCGTCAGCTTCCCCAAAAAGTCAGTGGGAAAGGTGGCACCTGCCAAGAGGACTTCCTCTGGGGCTGGCTGTCCCAAAATCCAAGTTGGATTCTCAGCCATGGAGGATTTACAACCCCCGAGGGAGAAGAAGTGTGGTAAGGTAAGGAGTGGGGTGGGTGGGTGGAGACCATGAGAGGCCTGGAGCAGGTGACTGTCTCCCACTCAGGAGCTGAAAATCCTGCTTGGATTTTGGCAGGACGATGAGTGGAGAGACCCTCATGCGTGAGCTGTGCTGGGCCTCCCAGGGTCTTCCCCAGGCCCCTGAGGCACCCCACACTCCTTATCTGGGCCTCTTACCTTGCTTAATGATTGCTTCATCAGTGACAGATTCAGGTCCCAGTTGTAGTCAAGGACTACCTGTAGATGTTTTCCATTAATTGAGATACTATGTAATAAACAATGTAAGATGACATTATTATATAATGTAACATTATAGTAACTTGCAAAATATGTCATATGTTTGAGCTGATGCCCACAGAAGACCCAAACTATATATGTATCAAATGTAAATCATATGAATTATTAGGAGAAAAAGAAGCAACCAAAGCAAGAATCCCCGACCTAAACTACACCAAAATTAAACACAATAGGGAGCAAACAGCTTTTTTTAAAAAATGAGCTGATATATGAACAAAAAGAAGAAAATCGATAACCCAAAGTGAACACCATAGGGAACAAACAATTTATGAAAAAAAATGACCCTATGTATGAATCTAAAGAAGACCGATGGAAACATATCACTTTTAG